ATCACCTTGAAGAAAACCAACTCTTTGCCAGTCCCCAGGGATGCCACGTCTGGCCATTTCAGTAGAAGGGACTCAGATCTTGGCAGCTTTAAGTGGTGTGGGTTTTGTCCTTCTATTCCTGCAGTATAAGTGCAATATATTCCTTTTGTTGCAAAGTTCAGAATTTTTAGGAGATTCTGAAAAAATCCCCACCTGGTTTTGTTTTTAAGGAGCTTGGGTGAACGTGGCTTTGGGAGGAGTGCTCTGGCTGCTCAGAGCTCTGAACATCTCATGGTGATGCAGCTCATTACCACCTCAAGAGCTGGCAGAATTCCCCAGGGAGTGAAATGTCTCCCAAGATCAAGCCTTTTTGAGGGGGATTAGTGCTGTTTATCCCTGTAGATGGGCTGGAGCAGACATCAGGAAAGACCTTCTGGCAGTGGTTCAGCATTTCTGCTTTGGTTCCTGCCCAGAATGATGAAGGGTTCACTCTGTGAATTGGGAGCAGTTTTGACTCGTTGCTTATTAGCCCTGTTCCTGGAGGAAACAAGCTGACAGGATCATGCTCTTGCTCTTTCTTGCTCCTTGTGTCTCTGTGTGTGACTTCTGGCCCCTCCAGGCTGATTTTAAAAAAGTTTTATAGAATCACAGGATCAGAGAATCTCCTGAGTTAGAAGGGACCCCCAAGGATCATGGAGTCCAACCCTCAGCCCTGCACAGGCCCAGCCCCAAGAGTCACCCCCTGTGCCCCAGAGGATCAGCCAAACCCTCCCTGAGCTCTGGCAGCCTTGGGGCTGTGCCCACTGCCCTGGGGAGCCTGGGCAGTGCCCAACCAGCCTCTGGGGGAAGAACCTTTTGCTGAGATCCAACCTGAGCCTGCCCTGACACAGCTCCAGCCATTCCCTGGCTGCTGTCCCTGCTCACACAGATCAGAGCTGCCCCTCGAGAGGAAGTTTGGCAAAGGGCTGGAGGTTTTCCAAGGGAAGCACATGTTGGTAGGAGGCCACAGCAGAAGGCTGTGCTGGAAACCAGCCCTGGACAGTTGTGTGGGGATCAGCTGCCTTCAGAGGTTTGTTCCCCTCCTGCTCCTGCGGCTCCAGAGGCACCAACTCCTTCACTTTGCTGTTTGGACACAGTGAGAGCTCCCTTGTCCTGTGGTGTTTCTATGCAGGCTGCAAAGGGCAGGCAGGAAATGGCAGAAGGTCTCTGTGCCACCTCCCAAAGCCTGCAGGCTGTAGCTCCCTGCTCCCGACACCCTGGGCTCCTGCTGCAGGGACAGGGGTGTCAGCAGGGATTGGAAAAGGTCCTTTGGAGATCAGGGGAGCCCTTAGTGAGCCCTCACTTAAGCCTGGGAAATGTGTGGGTGTCTCTGTGCTCCCAAAATTAGCTCAGTTGGTCAGAGCATGGTGCTGATAACACCAGGGTTGTGGGTCTGATCCCTGTATGGGCCAGTCATGGAAGAGCTGGTCTTGATCATCCTTGCGGGTCCCCTCCAACTGGGAATATTCTGGGATTCTGACATGAAATGTGGGTTGATGTAAAGCCCTGGGAGCTCCCTGTGAGAAGGTTCCTGCCTGGCTGAAGCAGCCACATGGGCTGGGCTGAGGGGAACTTCTGAAGTTACAGCAAAAGTACCTCAAGCTCACAGAAAGGTGCCCTTTGTGCAGCCCAAAATGTGGTGAATAAAAAACAATAAAAGGATTGACTGGACGAGGATTTGCTGGAACCATTTGTTTCCAGTCCTGCCTATCCTGAGGCACCTTTCCAGCCAGCTGGAAACTAATTTCTTCCTCTTCTGTTTGGACAGGAATTACCTTTCTTGCCAAACATTCCTCGACTCTTGCACACCAAGGTGACATCCCTGCTCAGGGCTGAGCCCTCCTGACAGCCCAGGCTGGAGGAGGAAATGTTCAACCAGCACACAGACAGACAGGGAGATCCTCCTTGTCACATCTCACCTGGGAATACTCATCTCCATGACTCTCCCTGTGGGGGTGTGGGATATCCTGGCTGCTCTCCTGGAAGGCAGGGGGATGGATCCCAGCAGTGCCCTGCCCAACACAGATGGATGGATCACCTTGATTGACTCCCTTGGTTAAATGACTTGGATTTATCTGAACTTTCTGAGACGGAGTTTAGAGCAGTATAAAGATAGAACATGCAGAAATAAGGGAATGTACTCAGTGAGGAGAGAGAAGCGTGTGCTGGGATGTGTGTGTGTGTCCAGTTGTCACGACTGTGGTCACAGAATAAAGCAGTTAATGGCATTATGGGTTTGTCAGTCAGAGCTGGTGGATATAAATCATGTCTTGGCCTCTCTCTGGTTCCTCAAGAGAGGCTTCATTTCACCAGGTCCCTCATTCTGCAGTGTCACAGCAGAGCCTCCTCCCAAGCACGGGAGCACAGAGGGGTCTGTGTGGGCTCTGCCCATGCCTTGACTGCACCTTGGGAGAGACAGAGAGTGCACCATCCCCTGGGGTATCTTTGCTGTGTAACAGAACCACAGAAAGCCAAGTAAAGGTGTTCTGGTGCTGTCCAGCAGCTCCCACTCCTCTCTCCCAGTCGGTGTCACTGGTGGATTGAAGGTTTGGCTGGAGGGAACACCCAGCCTGCAGAATTCCTTGGCAAAGGTATCCTTGTTCCAGGCCTCTCCTGCTGCTGCAAAGACCAGCTCAGCTGCACCATCGTGGAAAGGCTGGTGTGACCTCAGAGGTTGTTGGGATTTGGAACACTAAGCGGGGATCCCTCACTTGGAATTCCAGGTACTTCCCTGAGGTGCTGGAGCTGGGAGCCCAATTCCCTTGGTCTGGACAGAGATAAGAGACTGAGAGGGAGGCTGACAGAGCTTGTGGTGGATGGATCAGCCTGGCAGGGATGAGTCTGTCCCTGCTGACTGCAAGTGTGGAGCTCTGGGAGAAGCTCTGCCTTCAGTGTCTGAGTTAAGCTCAGATTGTAATCTCTTGATAATAACCCAGATTGTGTTTTTAAAACCTGCTTTAAACAGAGCCAGGTGCTGTGATGTTTGGGTTCTGATATCCCACTGAGGGGGAACCCCAGGTGCCACTGCCCAGCACCGAGGTCCTTCACCCACAGAGCCTCTGCCAGGCCTTGCCCACTCAGAAAGTCCCTGCTGCCCTTCAGCCCCTCTTCCAGATTCAAAGCACCAACAGCAAGAGCACTGGGGGAGTGAGAAATGTGTTAAAATGGATCCAGAAAAGCAAAATTAAGCTTTAAAAGCAAACTGGTGGAGGCTGAGGGTTCCTGTGGTGGAAGTGAGCTGTGGAAGGGCTTCATAGGTCAGTCTTCCTTCCAGTCCTTGGAGAGACAGGAAGAATTTGTTACGGATTTTGGTGGAACTGTTTCATGGGGAACGTGAAGAAGAAGGAATTGAAATGATAAACTGAGTTTTTGTTAGTGTGTCTGTTAGAGTGGTAAAACCCTCAGCTGATGACCTGGGCAAGACCTGGGGTACTCTGAGGAAATGTGTTTGGGCAGAAAGATCAGATTTTGAGGAAGAAACAGACATTTTGAGAAGAATTGTCTCTGTGAGAGAATATTTTTTAAAAAATGCTGTTTAACTCTGCTGCGGTCTGTGTGTGACATGAAATTGGTGTCTCTTCCCTCCATAACCCGGCTGTGTCCCCTGGGTGGGGTTGGGAAGTTCACAGAGTGATCTCCTGACCTCCTGCAGGCCACAAAGTGTCCCCTTTCCCAGCTTCTTGACCGGCTCCTCTGGCTCTTCTGAGCCTCGAGATGGAACAAGGCAGCTGGGATGTGTCATCCATCCCTGTGTCACAGCCAGTGGCTCCTGGCAGTTGATTTGTTGTGATTATCCTGGGATAAAATCTAATCAAGTGTGGTCAGAGGGACTCCAGCAGTCTGAAGGAGCAGGGAAGGATGTGCAGAGGTTCCTTGTCAGAAGGAATAATAGGAATAACAACAATAACAGGAATAACAATACTAATACTACTACCAATGATAATTCAACCCGTGCTTCCAACTGTGATTTACATTCCCAGGTGATTTTCTTTCTGCCTCTCTATGCTACTTTTGGAGGAAAAATGTGTTTAAATCTGTGTCTTGTGGGGAGGTAGGAATGTTTTCTCCAGGGCAGAGGAGGTCCATGGGAGGTTTGGGAGCTGGACCAAGCTCATCCTGAAACCCTGTGCACAACCTCAAGGTTATTGTCCCTTCAAAAGCAACAGAGGTGACAAAATCTGTCCTGCTCTGCCACTGAAACAAAGGAGAATTTACCCTGGTGTCTTTAATTAAAAACACAAACAAACAAAAAAAGGCAAAACAAACAAACAAACCCAACATTATTTTTATGTTTCTGACAAAAAGAGAGAGTCTCTGCAAATGAAAAATATTAAAATTCCAGGTATCCTGTCTAATAAATAATAACATGAGCTTGAACTTGGCTTCCCACAGTCAGCACCAAATCATGCACAGAGCTCTTTATGTTTTGAACTTTGCCTATTTCCCTCAGCTCTGCACATATAAATAAATAATTCCCCTTGATAAAGGTCTGGGAATGCTGTACTTTAAAAGATAAGAAAGCTTTGAGGGGGAAATTGTTTTTAAATCCGTAACATTTGTATGCTGTTCACTGCTCACACCGAGCAAAAACTCATTCACTTGGCAGTTAACCAACCCTATTTTATTCTTACTCTGTGTTCAACCTCTCCTTCTCCTGGGGACACCTAACCTTCTGTGTAATTACCTCTCTGAGAGTGGGAAGGAGGCCTAAATAACCTCCCTAACAACTAAATAAATACAGAGATCCCTGGGACAGGTTATCACTCGGATGCCAGTGGTGGAGCTATCAGGAACAGCGTGCCTGAGCCAGGAGGACTTCCAAGACTTGAGGCAGTTTTGTTCCAGCACTGGGCCAGAGAACTGGAATCTGGAATGTTTTCAACAACCCAACCTTGGATTTTTGGAGTATTTGAATGTCTTTGATGGCTGGAAAGAACAGAGATGGATTTTAACAGTGCTGGTGGTCTTTGTTTTCTCTCGAGGTCTGTCCAAGTCACTCGGTCTCATCGAAGGCTATGGGGGGCGTGGGAAGGGTGGCCTGCCAGCCACCCTATCCCCTGAGGAGGAGGAGAAGGCAAAGGGACCCCATGAGAAATATGGCTACAACTCCTACCTCAGTGAGAAAATCTCTCTGGATCGTTCCATCCCGGATTATCGGCCGACCAAGTAAGTCCCTGTTGCTCCACGAGGGAGTGCTCGGGTTTGGGGGTGGCACCACAGGAATGCTGGTGGTTTCCATGCTCTGGTTTGGGACTCTTGGCTCTTCCCTCATGACTGTTCACAGGGTCCTGCTCAGGAATGAGCAACTGGGGTAGTTTGGCTGAAACTGAGATCAGGGAATCACAAAATCACTAAGGTTGGGAAAGCCCTCTAAGATTTGAGTCCAACTGCAAACCCGGCACCAGGGTGTTCACAACTAAACCATAGCTCCAAGTGCCACATCCACGTGCTTTTGGAACACTTCCAGGGATGGTGACTGGGCAGCTGTGCCAGGGCTGGACACTCTTTCAGTGAAGATGTTTTCCCAACATCCAAGCTGAACCTCCCCTGGCACAGCTTGAGGCCGTTCCCTCTTGTCCTGTCACTTGTTCCCTGGGAGAGGAAGCTGATCTCCACCTGGCTCCAAGTAGCTGCAGAGAGTGACATAATTCATTAAGATGATTTATCAGGGGGAAAAAAAAGTGATTTTCTTCCCACTCTTCTCTCTGTTTTCACAAAGCAGTCCATGACTTTGGGTGGGAGTGGTGCCATCAGAGTCTCACAGCAGCTTTCACCAGCCGCGGCTGTTCCCTGAGCTGTTGACCTTGGTGTTTATTACCCTGTAAATGTGTGCAAAGACTCTCCCTCTCTCTCCCTTATCAGCTCCTTCACATCCCTGCAGGACCTCCAGGGCTCTGGGGCTGCCCTTGGGCTCCTCCTGGGACACTGTGGGATCTCCTGCTGGAGATCTGGGCCTTTCAAGGGAGTTGCTCGGGTGGCAACATCCTCCCTCTAGTTTTTTGCCAGAATGATCTTTTAAGGTGATGGTGACGTTTACCTGCCAAGCACCACAGAAGAACAGACTAAAAAGAGGTGACACACCATTTCCCTCAGAGTGGGAGAAAAGACACGCTGTGAGTTTATCTTTGTGAAGGTTAATTTTAGATATGGCCAGTGGAGAGTTCCTCAAAATAGCAAAGTGTCAATTTATCCAGGCCTGGAGTGAAATCCCTGATAAAAAAAGGAGCTGGGAGAGATTTAGATGCTGGAAGATACTTGTCCAATGCCTGTGTCGTGGGGGCAGTGACAAAGCTGTTGCTTGGCATCTGCATTAAAAATCCTGCAGCTCCCTCACTCCAGCAAATTGTTCAGGCTGGGAGAGCTTTTGTTCCTTCCCTTCTTCAAATGCTGCAGGAATTTCAAGCAGCCACTCCGAGTTTCCAGGGCTGTCAACCACTGACAACCCAAATCCTCGGCTGAGTTTTCCAAGGAGAGGAGGCCCAGGCTGCAGTTTTGCTGGGGTGGTTCAGGACAAACTGAATTGCAGCCACAAATTGCACCTTTGGCTCCACGAGATGCAAATCCCACTACAATGCAAATCCTTGGAGCGGGACCTCCTCGAGCTGTTACCTGAGGCTGAGCTGCTTATTTCCATTTCTCATCCAGAACTCTGACTTCAGCATTACTTCCTGAGAATTAATTTGGGAAGTAATGGGTTTTTTTTCAGATTTCGGGGGAAGAAAAGGATTCATTCTGACATTTTTAGGCTCGCATTGTATTTTCCCTTGGTGCCACTATCTATCATTTCATGGGAGAGTGGTGGAGAGGACAGAGCAGGCACAGCAATTCCTTAGAAATGCTTCATTTTGGAGCTGGGCTGATCCTCTGGAGAGAATTTGTGGCACTGACTGCAGCTGCATAACTTTTATCTATTTAAGAACTTCAGGAGTGTGTTTTCTTTGTTGCTTTTTTTTTTTAATTTTGGGGATCAATTGTCTTGGTAATGCAAGAGAACAGTTTATCTGGTACGAAATAGGCTGGAGTTTGCTGGAGGATTTGAAAAGTTTCAGCTGTTCCTACCTCTGGCTCCAGGCTCCTCTCAGTACTTCGTGCCTGCAGCTTTATGGCTGATTTTATGAAGGGTTGAACACAAACCATTTAAGTCAAGTATCCTGGGCTCTGATTAAAATAGATTCCAGTCAAAGGAAATTAGCCTAAATGGCTTTGAAATTGCAGCATTAGTGGGGGAAAAACTGTAGAGAACCTTCCAGCTGATAAGAATTACAAAGCATGTTAATTTTAAATATAATAGTGAAGCCTTGTTGGTTCAAGGAAAGAACCGGAATACTGATGGACTGGGACTGGGCCTGGCAGTGGCTGCTGCTCTCACATCCTTTCCTTTCCATCTTCTCTCTTTTTAAAGAAAGATTAATGTGGTGCAGGGTCACTGTGAGTGCTCCTCCTGCTCCCCCTTTGTGCCTGTGGCCAAAGGGAGGCAGAGGAAGGAGAGTTCCGGGGAAATTCGGCCCCATCCCTGAAGGTTCAGAGGTTCAGGTGTCCCTGCTCAGGGTGGTTTGCAGGCAGGGCTTGGGGATGAGGAGGCAGCACCACTCCCAGCTGAGGGGATTCTGTCCCTGCCCAGGGGCAGCAGAAAGGAGGGAGGTGATTTTCCCTGGAGAAAATGGTCCCGGAGGTGCTGGGTACAGGATGGTGCTTAGGAGAAGACAAGATCTTCCCCAGCAGCAAGAGTAGGGATGTGGATTACCTTGTTTGCCCTGATCTGAGGAACTATGGTGTCTCTTTTTGGTAGTTTGGGTTATCATCTTGGCTTTGGTTATAAAATGCAGGGTGAGAGATTTCCTTTTCCCTTCCTAAAACCTGAGGGTGCTCCCCTGGGCTGGGAGGTTGAAACCGTGCCCTGCTGGTCACCCCTGGAACAGGATTGGGTGTTGCACTGCACTGATTCCCAAAAAAGTGCTGCTGACAGTATGGATACATGGAATAATGTGTGCTGCTGGTGCCATCGGGGAGCTGGGCCTGTCAGACCTTAGTCTGGAGCTTATTAATATTGATATTCCTGGGCCTGACCTTGTGCTGAGCAGCAAAGGTTGTGTTGGGTGAGCATTGCAAGGTTTTGAGAGTGAATCACAGAACATGTTACATTTTGGATAGCCAAGAAAGCTCCTCCTTTAGCTAAAATAAGGCAGGACTGATGTTTTGGTGCAAGGGACTTTATTTCAGAACTTGCTACAGAACAGTGGCATAATGAGACAGGCACAGGCAACACATTTCTAACTTGTCTGATTGGGGTTTTTTGCCTTTAAGATGAGATTCCTGCCTGCTCTGGAAAACAATTACAGCTTCCAGATTGGAAGTAGCCAAGGTGCTGCCTGCAGGCTGCAGGACTTCTACACAAATCTCAAAAAAACTGAGCTGGAGAGCTTTTCTTCAATTTTCTGCAAAAACCTGTGAAGGACAAGGCTGATCTGTGAGTTTTATTGTTGAGCCACTCCCAGCATTTTCTGCCTGTGGAGGATGGGGGGATTTAGGAAGATGTGTTGTTTTCTATATTGAAAGTGAAGCATATTTATATGGGATCCCAGGGACTGGAACATTCCCTGCTTTGCTACCAGATTTTCTGTACCTCTCTTTTATTCTGTGATATGTGATTTAATGGGAACCTCTCCTGTGTGCAGCAGGAAAATAAAAATTGCTTTGTTGGATCAGTCTGCCTGTCCATCTTATCCAGCATCTAATCTCTGATAGTGGAATTACCAGATGCTTCAGGTTGAAGAAATCATATTAAGGAAAACTATGAAGTAATCTGCCCATCTGGTCCGTTCTGCCTCCTCTTTTCTCTCCTTTCAATCCTCTCTAATATAAAAGTGGAGTTCTCATTATCTCTTTAAAAGTCTCTTCCTTTCTGGAATCCTGCTAAGCTCTGATTCAGTGGTATTTTATGGCATTATGGGATTAAGGAGTAGATTTAAGTAAAATAATACCCACGATTGTTGGGACTATTGGATCACTGGGTGAGGATGACAAATTCCTGCTGCTGCAAATCTCTTGACAGCTGCTCCCGTGCAGGGAAGGCTCAGGATTTTCAAGTGAAGAGGAAGGAATGGGGGAAATGATAAGGAACTTCCACAGCTTGATTTTTTTTTTCAGATGACTTGAGGGCTTCCCAGCAGGACACACTGCCCCCTTCCTCCTGCCTGCCTGGGGGTCCAGAGCATGGAAAGGGGCTTTGGAAAAGTGATAGGATGGAGGGGAATGGCTTAAAAATGACAGAGGGCAGGGTTAGATTGGATTTCTTCCCCTGATAGGTAAGCAAAGGGTTTCATTCCCTTCTGGAGCACTCTGGGGTACCAGCACAGGAAGGACATGGAGCAATTCCAGAGGAAGCCATGGAGCTGCTCCAAGGGCTGGAGCCCCTCTGCTGTGGGACAGCTGGGAGAGCTGAGGGGGTTCACCTGGAGAAGAGAAGGATCCAGGGAGACCTGAGAGCCCCTTCCAGGGCCTAAAGGGGCTCCAGGAGAGCTGGAGAGGGACTGGGGACAAGGGATGGAGGGACAGGACACAGGGAATGGCTTCAAACTGAAAGAGAGTGGGTTTAGATGGGATATCGGGAAGAAATCCTCCCCTGTGAGGGAGGGGAGGCCCTGGCACAGGTTGCCCAGAGAAGCTGTGGTTGCCCCATCCCTGGAAGTGTCCAAGGCCAGGTTGGAGCAACCTGGGCTAGTGGAAGGTGTCCCTGCCCATGGCAGGGGGTTGGACAGGATGAGCTTTTATGTCCCTTCCAACCCAAACCATTCTGTGATTCTGTGATAGAAAAGCTTTGGAGTTGTGTTGGGAGCTTGATTTGCTTTTTCCAGCATTTCCCTGGCTTGTGTTACCACAGGGACCACGAGGCCTTGGAGCATGACCTGGGCAGAGCTCTACCATCACCTGCAGCCACTGCTAAAGATGGAACAGTTTCATATCACAGCCTTGATTTTAATTTTTCCTGGTGTTGTGTTTGGGGGTTGAGTCAGAGCCATTACTCTCAAGTGTCTCAAGCAGCTGAATCACCCATTTATTTCCACAGGAGCCTTCTCTGGAAGCCTGGGAGCAGTTGGGCTTTTTAGCACCATCTGGCTTGAGCTGGTTTTATTACCAGAGACCTCGTGCAGCAGCAAGTCTTGAAA